GATAATACGATTATACTCTTACTTACAACACCAAGTTTGCTATCGGGTGCCATTGCAATCATAATTTAATAGCAAACAATCTAGCCTGGACCTTTGACTCTGGACCGGATAGACTAAACTTAATGTCACTTTATTAAACTTTAAAGATTGTTTGAAACTCCATAACCTGATTATTACTTTTCCTTTCTCTTACATTTAAATAAAATGCCCCTAAAAAGAACACCACCAAAAACGACAGCTAGCACTGCACTAGACGTCCACCCACTACAGACACATAGTCAATCGGACCCAGATTTATGTGCTACCTATAGTACGAATGTAATAACAGCTAAAGCAACACTGAGACCAAAAAGAAAAAGAGACAGATCGGCAGATCATGCCGATTTTGAAGATTTTAAAAATACCATCATGACAGTGCTTAAAGACTTACAGACTACTATAAGTGAAATTAAAGAACAGAATGTAAAACTCCAAGAGTCTGTAGATTTTACAGCTCATAAGTATGATGAAATTCTAACGAAAATGAAGCAAATAGAAGAAGATAGAAAAGTGGACAAAACCTATATACGATCTCTCGAGGATAAAATCGATAGGTTAGAACAACAAAACCGCGCTTGTAGCATTGAAATACGGAACATACCGAAAAAAGCCGGAGAAACTAAACAGGATCTAACAGACACTTTATATGACATCTGTAAAATTATAAAACTACCTCCACAGGATATAATTGTTAAAGACATATTTAGAGTAAATAAGAAATCAAACACACCGACAGTTATTGCTGAGTTGAATACGGTTAACCAAAAAGAGTCTATCTTAAAATGTATGAAGAAATTTAACAAGGGAAATAGTAATAATAAGCTTAATTCTGAGCAATTAAAAATACATGGACCGAGAGTACCTATCTATATTTCAGAAAATCTATCCCCTAAAACTAAACGCCTATACTTTCTAGCTAGAGATTATGCAGCACAAGAAAAATATAAGTTCTGTTGGACATCTTACGGAAAGGTATATTTGAGAAAAGAAGAAGGATCACCGCTGAAGCGTGTAAATGCAGATGATGACTTAACTGAACTTAAATTACAAAAGTGACTAGTGGCGAACTACATGCTATTAATAAGAAAAGCTAGTATACACTTTTTTATTAAAGATATTTATTATGTTGATTTTATTTATAGAATGCCTTACGATATATTTTTATTTTTGTTTTTGTATTTAGATTTTCTCATTCAGTTATGCAATGTTAGGTCCTGTAACAAAATAGCAAAACCAAAACAATTATACAACACACTTTACTTGATTCACATACACACAGAATACTTCATAACCTATTATTTCTATTCATGTACATATATAGAATACACTATAAACCATACACACTTTAACCCTATTAAAATGCAGTTTAAACCTAATAATAATTTTATTAAATTGGAAAAAACTAAATTAATTAAATCTACATACTTGAATTGCAGTGATGGATTTTCGATTAAAGATCTAATAATATTATCTGATCAAATGAATAAGATACACCTAAATTTAAATTATAAAATTCGATAGAATGGATAATTCTTTAGTAAGTGAGCTTGATGGCTTGAAGTATGCAGAATGTTATAAAATAACCGACCCTTCGCTTTGCCCTGTCATTCTATGTTGTAAACAAAAGGAAATTAATTCCCTTTCCATACTAACAGTTAATATAAGAAGTGTCAACAGGAACATTGACGAATTTCTAGTATTTATCTCTCAACTAAAAATAAAAATAGACTTAATTGTATTAACGGAGTGTTGGTTGGATGAATCGAGCGTACCACCATTAATAAATAATTATACAGGTTTTAGAACGAAAAAAATAATCAATCAAAACGACGGAGTAATTGTTTATATCAGTAACGACATAAAATACGATTCTGTTTCTGAGCCTAACATAATAGCCGAAGGTAACTTTTTAATACTTACTATAAGTAATGACACTTCGGTTGTCTGCACATACAGACCACCAAGCTTTTACAACCCCATGACATATGTGGAATGTTTATATAAAATACTGAAAGAGTTAACCAACAAGACTGTAATCATAACAGGCGATATCAATCTTGATATTATGCCAAATAATGTAAAGGGAGCAACTTCCGAATATCTGAATATGCTATCCAGTTTAGGCTTCAAGCAGT